GAGTTTTCGATGGAGATCCGGGATGCGACTGTGATCGACCAGGCGGACATTGGCTCGAAGACGGACGTTCAGAAAGAGGATGAGGCAGGCGTTTGAGGGTGTGGTTTTGTGGCATCACTGTTGGTTGCTATTTCTGATTTTGTTTACATGGGACATCCATGGCTAAATACAAAGAAAATGGTTGGTGGACAAGCATCTCCATAATGCTGGTCCCCCAAAGGCTTCTCACTTAATTTTTTAGTTGTTCAAGAAGGTTTTTTAGAGCATTTTCCTTTGTTGGTTTTAAAGGAAGTCTATCACCACTGGACATGTGTTCTCGGTTTTTCCCGGAGGCGAAAACGCACATCTACTAAAGATTGGACATTGTTTTCTGTTTAATTGCTGATCTACTAAAGTTCTCCCTCTGAGGCGCCCTCTTGGGTCCAGGCGTTTCTGGAGGGCTGCGATGCCCGCGAGCACGGGCCATCCCAGTGGAAGGACCCGCCGTCCTCGACGCCAATCGAGCTGGGCTCCGCGCCTTCGCTGCGGCGCTGCGCCTTGGCCGCTTTTCTTGCGGTCTCCTGATTTCCTTCTATTTTTGCTTGAGCGTTTTCTTTTTAAATCTTCCCTTGTTGGTTTCAAGGGGAATCTATCACTACTGGCAATATTTTTACTTTTTCCCGGGGGCTTAACCAAATGGAAGACTTGAATTTTGGGGAAGTGAACCACCCCTGGGTTCAAGTCTACCTTGGGTTGGTTAAAAAGTGGGGTTCCTGAGTGGTTTGGCTAGTCTAGGTATTCCAGCTAGGTGCTCTTTTTACCGCTGCTTTTTTGGTTGGGAGGGGTCCCCGACTAAAACAGTCTACAGAAAAAACATCGGGTACCCTTATTCTAACCTCTCTACTGGAGGACCTAGTGTGGCTCCCTGCCATCCGGTTCCTCAGCCTTTTGGGTTTTCGAGTGTGTAGTGGTAGCTTCCATGTAACCCACTAAAAGTTGAACTTTTGGCGGGGGATCTGAGGGCAGTCCAGTGTTGGGGAGGGCGATGTTTTGTTTGAGGGAAACCGACAGAAAAACCATTGCCAACAGCTGAAAGCTTTGGGGTCTCAGCCCAGATAGGCTCCGGGGTGGTCCGGGGCGGCCCTGAGATAAGGTCCAAGAGGGTTCCGCCAGGGTTCCACCAGGGTTCACCAGGTTCTGCGAGGGCTGGGGGGGTGGTTTGAGGTAAGAGGTAAGGTTCCATGAGGGTTCCACCAGCAGCAGGGTTGCACCAAATTTCCACCATATTCTGTGAGGTAAGGTTCCATAAGGGTTGTACCAGGTTCTGTGGGGTGGTAAGGTTCATGAGAATTCCACCAGGTTTCCACCAGGGTTCCACTAGATCCCACAAGCTGGTCCGGGCGGCCCTCAGGACAGAGTTCCACAAAGATTCCACAAGGGTTCCACAAGGCTCCACAAGGTTTCACAAGGAGCAGTAAATTGAGGGCTCAGAAGATCGCTTTGCTCATGGGCGGAACACTAAGCAAAACCGAAATCTTCAGCATACTTTCATTGTTTTAACTTGCTCACTTGCTCAGACAACGCAGCCCGAACTCACTGTGCAGCAGAGTACATGATAGTACATGCTTGGCATTACTGAGTATTTCTTGGTGGGCTTTGGGTTCCAACATTTCCACGAGACTGCTACGGGGTCCAGGTTCTGCAAATTCCATGGGGCAGCCCTGAGGAAAGGTTTCACACTGAGTTCGACGAGGTTTCCACGAGGACGGTTTGCGAGGTGCACCGGATCGGGGCCCCACTCAGTCGGGCCCCGTCAACTGTACCAAGCTGGCATCGCCTGGTTCAGTTGCAAGGCCGCATCCGCTATAATATGGGTGGCTGGGGCCCACTTGCACCACAGGACTATCGGGCCCCGGTCGGGGCCCGATTGCACCGTCGGGCCCCGCGGGCCCCAATTGCACCGCGAGTGCACCGTCGGGCCCCGATCGGGCCCGATGCGCCGTCAGGCAGCCCCGATCAGGGCGCGATTGCGCTGTCACTCTTAGCCTTGCTTTGTAAAGTTACAAGGCGGCATCCTCAGCAAACCCGACGGCGAGGTGGGTCCCGCCTGAGCTTATTTTTTTTGGGGGGGGGTCCTCACAAAAAGACCTGCGAAGTAATGTTGTTTTGTTGGTGTTGCAGGGAAAGCCATGGCCGGACTCTCACTTTGACCATTTGGGGTTGGTTTTGTTTGAGGGTGCCCTTGTTTTGTTGATTTTAAAGGGAATCAACAGGAAGTCGGTTGCACCATTCTGGCGGTTCCCAAAAAAAAGACACAACCTATGTCCAGGGCATTGGTCGGGGAGGAGATCTCATGAACTTTGCCCCTTTCCCCCGGCAACTCGAGTTCACTTCTCCCACTTCAACCATTTTTTTGCCCTGCAAATTGTTTTTCTCCATTATTTCTTATTTTTCACCGGCCCGCCCCGCGGCCGCGGCTTGAGGCGTGATCGCGCCGGGCAACGGGTGCTCGCCGGTGGCGGAGGCCAATTGGTACGCCTGGCTGGCCGCGCAGCTGAGGTCTTCGGGCGTCTTCGAGGAGGTGAGCGACAATGAAAACCGATTCGGGTAGATGACGGTCAGTAACGGCTACTTTTAAGCATAAATAGCTGCGGAATTCCGTCTTCTTAATTCTTGAAGCATGGTTCTGGGATTACGACCATTGTAATACCGGGTTTTGATTGCGACTCAGGTGATCTTGAGGGATTTCCCGGATCCGGACGCCGCGCGCCGGGAGGCCGGGAAAAGAACGAGTCTTGCGGGGGGATGTTTGCTGTCTCTGTTTGACGGTCACCCCTTTGGGGGTGACTCTACAGCACCACTGGTTTTGCTGGTCCTTATTTTATGACACACCCGGCAGGGCGTCCCCATCACGTATTGAAGGTGAGTCTCCCTCGGCAGGGGTGATGTTTTAGGGGGAGGCATAGGGAGCCCTGTATGAGGAAGCCTCCAAAATTGTTTCCTGTCAACTGCCTCCAAAATGATAAAGCTTTGCTTTTGGCTGTCCTTTAACACCAGGAAAGGATTCCCCCGTCAAGAAATACCCTCTCCACCAATCAAAGTGGACCATCTTGGGTTTTTTAAGAGTACCATCCTCCTGAGAAGGCCCAACCGTCCACTTTCACAATTCCCTAAACAACAGCTCTGTGTCAAACTAGGGGCGACTCCTAATTTTGTGGATTTTCTTTTGGCATTCGGGTGAACCAACGTAACTTCCAGGTGAGCCATGGTCAAACTCCTTCAATGGCCAATGGCCATTATTCCCTCAATAAGAATCATTATAATGGCTATCCTTACTACCAGCGATGACCCTGCCTGACCTGAAGTAAAGGAACCGGTCGAAATGGCCATGGATTCCAGGTGTGCCAAAGAACACTGAAGAACCGGTCGAAATGACGCCCCTCCAGTGATGATTGATTTCTGTTTGCACCCAGGGAACCCCCCTATTTTTTAAAACCGGGGTTGATTCGATGATTTATTTTTGTTCACCCAGGGAACCCCCTATTAATTAGTGGATTGATCCGGGGTCACCCCTTGTGGATTCCCTCTTCAAGAAATACCCTCTCCATAAATCGATCTGGACCATCTTGGGTGTTGGAAGGTCCACTGCCATGCTCCTTTTGGATTCCAGGTGATTTGATGATTTTTTTTTTGTTCACCCAGGGAACCCTCCATTAATTCGCTGATTGATCCGGGTGTCCAGCCGCAGGTGTGGCTGGGCTTTTTGAAGGATCTGCGCGTGGGCGTGGACACGGTGCTCGTAGGTCACTCCTCAGGTGCTCAGGCGGCCATGCGCCTGGCGGAGGAACAGACGCCCAGCCCCAGACTTCGTCCGACCTTTTTTTGGTTCTCCGTTTGGGGCGCCAGGGGTGTGTCTTTGCGTGTGTGTGTTTTTTGGTTGGTACCCCTTCTTGGTACCCCTTCTTTGCGGTTTGGGAAACCTAGAGGACAACAACACTCCTTTTCTTGGAGCGGGGGGTTGGGGTGTCGGGTGTGTCTTTGTGTGTGTGTGTGTTTTTGTTGGTACCCCCGGTCTTTGTTGTTTTTAAGGGAAACCAAGAGGACCAAAAAGCACATTTGTTTTATAGTTTTTTTTTTCTCGGGGCGTCCGCTATAAAAGACAGACCTACTTGCTTAAGTTTGTTGACAAGCCACTATGTTGTGGCCAAGCGACAAGTGGAAGATGGGATTTCCGCTGTTTCCTTTTGCGGAGACGTTTTTTGCAAGAATACATGTTAGTTTCCCCAGTTGATTTAAAAGGAATCACTACGGGAAAGAACATTTTGCTTTATTGTCCTATCACTGAAGGAAGTATCGTTGTCTTCTAGGTGACTTAGAACAATTCGCGGTCACCTTTTGTGGTTTTCAACGGTTAGCCTCATTCTTTTGCTTTCAACGGGGGTGCCAAACGGGTATCAGTGTCATTACCAGACTTAGCTAGCCTTGTATTAGTTTTGTCTTTTTGGGGTTCTTTCATGTTCCCCTTTCAACGTCAATCAGTTTCCTTACCGGTTTCCTTTGCTCTTGATTTGTCCCCTAGAAACCTTCAGCCCGCCCCAAAGGTGGTCACGTTTTGTAGAGGCTCGATCCAGTGCTGCAAATGGGAGCCCCGTGCTAGAAAAGGTGGATTTTGCAAAGACCAGTTTGGGTATGTGCATGAGGGCCCTTTTTGGGTGGTTTTCAACTTGTGGTTTCCTATTAAGTAAACCTGAACAGGACACCGAAAGCACACAAGCCCACTTTTGCAGGAGGGGTTGGTGGGATCAGATTAAGTTGGTCGGGTTGATTAGTTGGTTGCTTGTTTGCTTGGTTGCTTGATTGCTTGGTTGCTTGGTTGCTTGGTTGCTTGGTTGCTTGGTCGGTTGGTCGGTTGCCTGGTTGGAACGAATAGGGGCTACATTTGTTTACAATTATCATCCCGACTACATACGGGTGTGGCTCAAATTCAGAAAGCTAGGGCAAACCGGAGGTTTTAGTCTTTGGTTCCATTTACCAAATTGCCAGTTGGTTCAGTTTTTCAGCACAGCCATCTTGATTGAACTGTACCCCATACACCCCCCAAAAAGCAAGAAAAGAAAGAATCTGACTCAAAGGGCTAAGAATTGCGGTTTTCCTTTTAGAACCATCAGAAACGCCCCCTCTTTTAGTGTCCTTTTTGGTCCTTTCATAACCATCAGAAAAGCCACAATCAGTCTTTTAGTTTCGCTTTCAGTTTTTAGTGTCCTTTTATAGCCATCAGAAAAGCCACAATCAGTCTTTGAGTTTCGTTGTTCGTGTCCTTTTATAACCATCAGAAAAGCAACAATCAGTCTTTGAGTTTCGTTTTCAGTTTTTAGTGTCCTTTTATAGCCATCAGAAAAGCCACAATCAGTCTTTGAGTTTCGTTGTTCGTGTCCTTTTATAACCATCAGAAAAGCAACAATCAGTCTTTGAGTTTTGTTTTCAGTTTTTAGTGTCCTTTTATAGCCATCAGAAAAGCCACAATCAGTCTTTGAGTTTCGTTGTTCGTGTCCTTTTATAACCATCAGAAAAGCAACAATCAGTCTTTGAGTTTTGTTTTCAGTTTTTAGTGTCCTTTTATAACCATCAGAAAAGCCACAATCAGTCTTTGAGTTTCGTTGTTCGTGTCCTTTTATAACCATCAGAAAAGCAACAATCAGTCTTTGAGTTTATTTTTCAGTTTTTAGTGTCCTTTTATAGCCATCAGAAAAGCCACAATCAGTCTTTGAGTTTCGTTGTTCGTGTCCTTTTATAACCATCAGAAAAGCAACAATCAGTCTTTGAGTTTTGTTTTCAGTTTTTAGTGTCCTTTTATAGCCATCAGAAAAGCCACAATCAGTCTTTGAGTTTCGTTGTTCGTGTCCTTTTATAACTATCAGAAAAGCAACAATCACACTATTTTGGTGTCCTTTTAGTTTCCTTTTGACACAATCCCATTCTTGAAGGGTCCAATTAGTTTCATTTTGGTTTCTTTTAGTGTCCTTTTGTTTTCCGTTTAGTTTCCACCATGCTTTTTAAGGATCAGTCCAAGGATCGTGGGTGGCCTGGTGCTGGTCGCCGCCTGCCACAGCGACCTGGGGGACGCGGGGGAGCGCGCGTCGGGGTACTACCCTCCCTCTGGGGGGCCCTGGCAATGGGACAAGGCGGGCCGGAAACTATCGACCAAAAACGCCGTTTGCGCCTCGCAAAAAGCGGCTTGCTAGACCCACAGGGCCGCCACAGGGTCCGATCCATGGGCCGCTCAGGCAACCCCAAGTTGGTGGTTTGGATTTGGGGATTTGGGGATTTGGGTTTGAAGCCCCTCAAGAGGGGTGAGTAGAACACATTTGCGCCTCGCAAATACCGATTGCAGCTTTGCCCTCCAAATTGACATAGAATCCCCCAACCCCAGAGAGCCACCCACTCTTGGAGGACTGTCCCAAAACTCAAGCCGTTGCACGCAGAACCATGCAGAACCATCCATGGGTTGTTGTTGGGAATCATTTTGCATTTTTGTTTGTTGTGGTTTAGTGGATGAAATCCAGATCCACTTAGCTGCTAAATTTTAAATGTTTGCTCCTCTTCCAACACCAACCAGGAAAAGGGGTTTGCTAGACCTTGGTGGCTCCCAGCCATCCGGTTCCTTAGCCTTTTAGCCTTTAGTGTTTAGTGGTTGGATTTCCATTTAACCCACCAAAAGTTCTTTTTAAAGAAAAACTCTTAGCGGGGGATCTGAGGTTGTTCGGAAACATCTTACATTTTGCTTGTTGTGGTTTAATTAGTGGGAATTCCAACCACGTAACCGCAAAATATATATATGCTTTTGTTTGCTCCTTTTCCAACGTCAGCCAGGAAAAGGGGTTTGCTAGACCCAAAGGGTCCGATTGATGGAATTTGGGTCCACAAACTATGTCCTTTTGACACCCCGAAAGCAACTCGGGGTGTGGTACGGGGACCTGCAGGGTCTGCAGACTAAGCCCCAGGACCGTTAGGGTACTTCCATTTGCTGAAGTTTGACGATTTGTTGTCATTTTCTTTGGTTTTAAAGGGAATCAAATTCATTGCTAAAGCGAAGAATGCAGATGCAAGCTTTCAGGGATGTCATGGGAAATATGTTCTGTCCAAAGGTGAAAGATGGCTGGTGGTTGAAGAGGGAGCTACGGAGCTATCAGGAGTCGGGTAAGCACTTGGTAGATAGGGTTGACGAAACAGGAAACAGAATCTGAACATATCTGGCCGTTTTGGGTTGGACGGATCGTCACTGGCTGTTTTGGGCTGGACGGATCGCACATGAGGAAGTGGTGGTCTAGTTTGCCACACAAGAAACGGATCGCAAACCAGCCAGCTGGGGGGGGGTTCCATGCACCAGCCAGAAACGGTTTGATCCCCTTCAACCGGTGGAAAGCCCCACTGCCCGTTTGGGCAGCAAAGCTCTGTTGCCCAGCGCTCTTTTTTCCTTTCTTGGGGGGAATGGTTCTTTGTTAAACTCAGCCAACAAAATCAAGGGGGCCCTTTTTGTCCCATGGCCACTGGGCATCTGAGAAAGAGCGGAGAAACTCCGAGCTTCCTTTTCATCGAAACCGGTTTCCCTTGGTTTCGCATCAATGTGTGACCCTTGGGTCTGTGGAGAAAATCTGCCGGCCCCCTAGGGTCGCTGTGCCCGTTCCGGGGAAGCTTCCCCCTGGTTTTTCGGGCTTGGGAAGCCACCCCCGGAACACTTGCATTTGATCAGCTTCTCTCGTGAAGTGGATTTGGATCACGGTTTGGGTGGGGGCTTCCCTCTCCAAACCCAGTGGTCGTTTGGCTTTGGATTACCCTTAAGGCTCGTTTTGCGGATCTGGGTTCCCCCGCCAAAAGTCGTGAATTATAACGACCTCACACGTCTCCCCAAATGGTGGTTTCTGTGGGGAAAAGCCCCCAACCACCTTATTTCAGGTTGGTGAAATATCATAGTTCACCCAGAAAAGCCCCACGCGATCGATCCAGATCCGGCAGCACTGCGGCTGGATCGTCCAGTTCCACTCCTCGGACGACTGTTTGGTGCCGGTGGTCGAGGGCCGCCGAGTGGCGAAGGAGCTGCAGAGCGAGTTCCACGAGCTTCAAGGCCAGGGATTTTGGTCTCGGAGGGTTGCCTCGAAAAAGGATCAATATCTAGGTCCCCCTGTGCCATTTTACCGTTTCGTTTTTGGTTGGGAGGGTTCCCCTACTAAAATAGACGACAGAAAAAAGTTGGTACCCTTATTCTAACCTCTCCTACTGGAGGACCTAGATAGGGTTTGATGGGAACATGTGGGAGCCCCAAGCGTGGCAAGTTTGTTTGAGTTGTTCAATATGAACCATGAATCCCGTGCCGGACGGAGTGATATGGATGACGGATTTGGAACTTCCCTCGTGAACAACGTGACCCCTGCGGAACCAAGGAACCCTCCGGAAGATGCTGCATGACGGCTTCTTTGTGAATAAAATCCGGGCCCACAAACCCCGTAAACCAGGTCTGTAACCCCAGAAGTGCAATTACTGTGACAGAACCATGCACCAGTTGGTAGGCAGTTTCTCCCAATGTTCATTGGGTTTCATGCCTCCCAACTGGGATTTAGCCCATCAGTAGGTTGTCCCACGGAGGCCATTCCCACTTCTTTGAGCCGTTCGAGGAGATTCTGGAAGCCATTGTGCAGAAATGCCGCGACTGAACGAGAAAAGACGGTATCCAACCGCCCCGCTTCCGGAAGGGGGGGAGGTTGGGGGGTAGGTTTGGGGTTAGGGGAGTCGGGTTGGAGGTTGGGGGTTGGGGGTAGAAAGGGGGTAGGGAGTGGGTTTAGGGGTTAAGATGTGGGCGGTTGTGAAGCTTAGACGTTTTGGTCCGCGCCCCTCAAAGTGACCGCATTATGTGGGGTTCTCAACATCGCTCTTGCGTGTTGGTTTTGCCTTCACAATATTATTCAGGGATGTCACTTGAATGGACCCGGTGTTTTGCTCAACATAAAGAGGAGGATTCTCCGGCAGTCCCGCCCAAAGGCGTGAGAGCACTCTACCGTACTTGCTGGGCACTGCCAGCGAGACGCGCAGCTGATTTTTCAGCTGTCCGCATGCCACGTCGCCCACTTGCTCAGTGCCAGCACTTGGTGCTTCTCAAAATTTGGGACCCCTTTTCCTTTTGGTTTCCGCTTAGAACCATCCCAAACAAAGACGGGCCCCCGATTTTGAGGAACACCCCATTTTGCCCGGTTTTTGGTTCTCCAAAATTGTCAATCTCCAGAAAGACATCCCTTTTCCTAGCTGGGCCACTGGGCAACTGGAGTGGCCGGAGTCCAAGGCAGAGAATGCAGATTCAGCATGAGATTCAAAATAGCCTTAAGGCAAAGAGATCTCTTTCTCTTCTTTCTCTGCACTTGAATTCGACCAAGCCTCTGCCATTCAACGGCTCCCTTCAGATGGTTTGTCTTCGGTTTGGGCACGTTTAAGTAAGCCGAATGAAAAGCAACAATACTCTGGTTTGCAAGGCCGAAACCCAAAGCCAAAACACCCTGAAAGGAAGGTGGTTCAGAAATAGGCTGAAGGCAACCTCGTTGATTTTTTTTGGGGGGGGAGAGGGCCTAAGCTTGAAACAGACCGTGGACGCACTGAATCCTAATGTGCCAGGTGGGATGAAGGAAAGCCCAGGAAAACTCGCCACCTACCTTGTGCGAAGCGGAGTTTTTCCAACAGAACTTCTAGAAAACGGTTTGGATGTGACAAATCTGTGGGAATGGAGCCGTGTCAAAACTGGTTGGTTGATTCATACTGCGGGACAAAATCCATTTCGCACCACTTGGAAACCATGGGTTGAAACCATTCATCGCTGGTAACGTTGGAATCGCATCCTTCGGTTTCTGAACGGTGCGAGCCATCCACATGGGGTCAACCGTCAGATCCGGATCTCCGCGAGGACGGCCATTGTCTGGAGCTTTGACACCGGCGAGGCCATGAAGGCCATGGTTCCCGTGAAACGGTTGGAAGGGCCGGCCGTTTCACGCCCAGTGCGACGCGCGAAGCGGACAATATCCGATACCCAGTTCGCCAGCGGCGCCCTTCTTTTCTTCTTCTTTGGGAAGGGTTCCTCTTCAAACTCAGCCAATCAAAAAATGATGCCCTTTGCTCTCATGGCCACTGGGCATCTGAGGATATTGTCCATGGACAGTACCCAGTGATGCCCCATAATATGGCAAGTAAACCAACCATAGCATGGTAAACCACAGTCAATTCGGGGGTTTCCTTGTTCCCTTGTCTTCTTTTTCGGGAACCCAGGCATCCACTGGGTTAGGTCACGGAGCTTGCCCACAGGGTGTTTTTTGCATTGCAGTCATTGTCTCCCCTGGTTTTCCCGTGGTTTTCCAGTGTTTCCACTTGACGCCAGAAGGTTCGGTTGTCCAAGCCACACCCGGGATTTGTCCGCGGGCCCCGGAACACCTCCAAACCGAAGCGAAGCGCCTTGGGGAAACCCAGGTGGGGAACACCATTTCGAGCTGCCAAAGGTGATGAGCATGTTTTTGTTTGTTTAACCGCATGCTATGCTACTCGGACAGTATAAGACCTGGTCGGGCCATCAAGGTTGGGGTGGTTCAAATCCCCAAGGTACGACACAGTGCCCTGGAGACCACAAGTCCGGCTACATATATACATATATATATATATATGTAGTATACCCAAGGCTTATGAAGGTGATCCGTTGATTGCTGCCATGGCGCGTGTCTGCTTCCCGGGTGTTGGGAGATACTGACGGCGGTTTGGCAGGTCCTTTATCTTGGTGGCTCCGAGCCGTCCCCTTAGCTCTTTAGGTTTTTAGGGCTTAGTGGGGGTTTCCATTTAACCCTCTAAAGTTTATTTTTGTAGCACGGGATCTGAGGACAGCCCAGTTAGCAGCTAAAAGCATCGAGAGCTAATCCTATTCTTCTGGAGCAAACCGTAAACCTGATAATCTGATAGTCATATATATATATATGTATGGGCAGAGGAGATTTCCACCACAAATTGGTGAATATTCCCTTTGGTTTCCTTTTCATCCAACCCCCAAAGAACTCCAGGTGCGGAGAAACCCTAGTTTGTTGCCAGTATGGTTTGGATTGGTTTGGATTTGGATTTGAAGCCCTTGTTCTTGTAGAATGTGACCCCACCGCCGGAACAACCACCTGCAAACCTTCCCAAAACGGGTTAAGCTGAGCAATTGAATTGATTACTCTAAAGAAACATCAAACACAACATCCTAACTTTTTTGTTGCAATTGTATTTCTTGTAATTATTTCCTCACCACCCACCCGGCACAGCTCCAAACCCCCCACTCCAAACGAGTTGGAAGTCGGACCCGACGCCTTATGGCTGTGGGTCAATACCGTTTTGGTACCATTTTGGTTGGTAGGTGAATTCACCCATTTTAGAGCCTATTTTAGTGGTTAAATCGGGATGTAACCACTGGGGCCACGGAATTTTGGGATTTTGAAAAGCCCATGCCGCCATGTCTGACCCATGGCTCAGATCTTCAGCGGGCACTCGGGCTCAGTGGCCAGCCTCGCCTTCGCCTCCGACTCGCCGGGGACTCGGCGCGCGCTCGGCGGGGTCTCGGACTCAGGTGGACTCGGCGGGGTCTCGGGTCACTGTGTTTCCCTGAGAGGTTTTTAGTGGATCAACCAGCCGTCCGGTTCAACTAGGGGATTGTGTTGTGTGTGTGTGGGTTTTTGCCTGGTTTCAGTGGTTGGGTGTCCATTGAACCCACTAAAAGCTGTTTAGTGGCTTTGAGTTGGTGGAAGGTGGTTGGGTTTCCATTTATCCCACAAGTTGAACACTCCTAGCGGGGGATCAGAAAATCAGCACAGGTTTATGAAGCGACCCTAAAGCCAACCATGGCTACGAATTTCACTAGGGGATCCTTCAGTGATTTGTGGACACAAGTCCCAACCTAAATGATGCCATTATTCACGTAGAACCTGCACGGGGTGATCCAGGGATGGCCCCATAGCCCGGCCCCGTTACTTGACATTATCAAGGTCAGCCCCAAAGTGGTAGGTTCAAGGGAAACACCCCCAGCAGTCAAAAATAATGGCCCCAGTTACAGCAATGGTTTGGCCCCATGGTCTAAGGTTGAATCGCCCAACCCAGTACCAATAAGGCAGGCTGAACAATCCCTTGCACTTTTTTCTTCCAGGCGATCCCGAACGCTTCACTCCCAAAACCATGAAGATCATTCTTCTGCGAGCCAGCAAGAGAAGTGCGTCCTCTTGATGGACAAAATATCCAGTTGGTAGGGGGTTTGTCCCAGTCAGGGTTCAGGGATTCCGTCCATCCTCAGCAGGTTGGCCACTTTAGTCCCTAAGGTTCAACCACCCATTAAAAGAATGGCAAGGACCCAATTTGGATGACAACCCTTAGGTGAAGAATGGTGGTTATCTTGAATGAATCATTATTTTAACGGTGGTTTAAAATGCAGGGGAGTGGATTCTATTCTACTTCTTGCCTGGAACCAGCTGTATGGCCGTTGTTTGTCCACGGATCGCCTTGTCTGGACAGAGCCAGTATTTGATCAACAAGATGTTGAAACGCCTGGAAGCTCATGTTTTGTGGCCAAGGCCGTGACAGAATCAACTTGCAAATTCCTCGTGTCAAACATAATTAGACGCCCAACGGAGTACCCTGGTAGATGGAAATAGCGATTTGGTTTTCTTCGCCAAAGCCTCCATTTTGAAGAGCCCAGTGGTCCAATGGATCTCAGCATGATGAAACCCAGCCATTTTCCTGGAAGTTTTTCAAGTGGTTTCTTTGCTTACCCACTCCCTGAGTTCCGTTTTCCGACTTGAGAAACTTGTTGGCGAGGCTCTGGTGGTAAATAGGTTTGTTGGTTTTTGGCCAGTCCACTGTTTTTTTTGCCAGTCCACTCAGTAAATCTGGCAAATACAATACGGTTGGTTTCTTTATTCGGCCACCGGTTTTGTGGCCAGTCCACGTACACGTGGTAGAACAACACCGGTTTGGTGTTCGTTCTTTGGCCGTTCCTTTCGTTTTTTTAGTTGGGTCCACGTCGGACCGTCCACGTTGGCCCCTCCGCTCGGCATCCGCTCGGCGCAGCGAGCAGCGAGACCAGGCGGACTTTGGCCACCGGCTCGGAGGCGGCGAAAAGCATTGGGGTCGGTCGGTTGGGTTGAGACGGGTCGGGGCTTGACAGGTGTTCTCCATAGGTGAGTCCTAGGGTAGGTGTTTCATTCCCCAGATAGCTGAAAGCTATAGGGGTTCTAACTTCTAATAAAGAGGGGGAAGTGATTTGCGAGATTGATGGGCTCGTGCTAAGGGGCTTGCAGTTTGGGGTGCTGGTGAAGTGCTGTTTGGGGCGCTGTTTGGGATGCTGGCGCAGGTGGTGTTTTGGGATGCTGTCTGGGGTGTTGTTTCAGGTGCTGGTGACGGTGCGGCGTTTTCGCGAGGTTGATGCTTTGGGGGTGCTGTTTGAGGGTGCCGGTGCGGGTGCATTTTTTTGCGAGATTGACGGCAGGGTGCAAGGGGGCATGCACTTTGCGGTGCTGCTGTTGTTGGATGCTGTCTGGGGTGCTGTTTGAGGCGCTGGTGACGATGCGGCGTTTTCGCGAGATTGATGCTTTGGGGGTGCTGTTTGGGGTGCCGGCACACGGGTGCATTTTTGCGAGATTGACGGCAGGGTGCAAGGGGGCATGCAGTTTGGGAT